CCCCCTGGAATATTAAATTTTCAATATGTTTTCAGGGGGGTGACTGCCTCTCTTTAGGGCACTTGCTAAGAACATGGCGGACTGAAAAAATCCCTTGCGCACTTTTAATAAGAAGATACACTTCTGTATGTCTTTATTCTGTGCCGGTGCGGTTATGAACACTTGTAGTTCAATGGTTATGAAAGGCTTTCGCCCTCTGAACGTCCGCTATTTTGAATAATTTCAGGAGGCGAATACCTCTCATAAGCGCACTGGCAAGGACCATGGCGACAGCATTGCAACGGTTTCGTCAAAATCACAGGCAAAACCAAGAAGTCGACCTACATTCTGTATGGGCCAGTATTCTGTGACGGCGGTATATGGTTCCCAGGGCGGCTCGGCTCCCGTGCCCATTTCTGCCGTTATCAGATCGGAAAATCGGTTTTGTTTTCGCTATTAATCTCACTCGATGAATATTTTTGCAACGTACATATAAGGATTTTATTGACATCTAAGTCAGGATCGAAATAATGTTGAATGATTTTGTGTGTGGAAATTTGGAGTGTCAATTTTATACATTTATTTAATAGACCTAACTATAAAATATAGCCACCTCTGGCAGAAACCAAACCTGTGGTACTGCGATTCCGGTACAGTCAACAGAGTCCAGTTGTCGAACTCTAACATCGATTTCTACCAGAGGGCCTATCATTACACTCGAAATTACCATCTACGAAATCCTTCAACATGTTTTGTAACGACGTATTCATCAGACTGATCACAGGCACAGAATACTCATAAATATATTATATAAACTAGATAGCGCATCTCTTTTAGTAATATTGAAGCCAAGAATATTCCAGCGGTTACCCCCATTTGAATAGATGGAGGCTATGTTGAAGTTTCCCACTCGCTAATAAACGCTTAAAAAACAATAATAACTTTCATCATTTGAATAGTTTGAAAATGTATTTGGAATAGGTTTAACTTAATGTTTTAAAAGTTGCCTGTTTAAGAAATAGAAAACATACGAGTCTTCTCATTTCATGGGAATATCCTGAGTCTGCAATCACGACTTCAATTTTTGAATTGCAGGATAATTAGATGCACTATCTAGTGTATATAAGATATCTATGAGAATACTACACAGAAGGCCATGCATCTCCATTGTTTTAATTTTTGCGTAAGCGCTATTCGTCATGAAGTAGTCACCCCCTGGAAATATACATGGCTTTCTCCCACACAGCGCCGTTTTGGATATTTCCAGGGGGTGACTTTCTGTTTTAGGATACTTGATGAGTGACGAATTATGACGAATAGCGTTTACGCAAATAACAATGGAGATGGCCTTCTGTGTAGTATTCTGTGTTACTGTGTTAGAGGCCAGTTGTTCCTGGGTTAACACTTAACTCGTTTGGGTACATTTGCAAATCCGTTTGTTTCATACTTTAATTTATTCTCATAAAACGTCTGTTGCTCCAGACAAGATTCTGGAAAACTGAATATCTCCTACTCCATAAACAAGCTATTTCGAAAATTGCTTTGACTTTTTTCGTTTTTTGTTGACTGGCTTTCGAACAACCGGACTATTCAATATAATATAGAAGGCTTAAAACTCAATTTTAGAACTGCCCATTTTGGAAGATGGGATGCCCTAGTATGACCCCTGACCCAAAATAAAATACCGCTCAAATATGAGGAAATAAATTCCCACCACACGCTAATTTTTTATTAAAAATCTACATTTCCTCAACCGGAATACCAAAACGGGCTAACACCGCCCAAACACAAGGGTGACCATAATTCCTTCCCACTTCACTCGATCATCTCTTTAATCGTTCAAGTTTTGTAACTTATCGCTTTCATTTGGGATATTGCTAAGACTGCTTTGATAATTAAGGACTTGGGTCAAGTATGGGTTGGGCTTCAGTTGTTTCTGATATGGCCAGGGCTATACATGGTGGCTGTTATACTTCGGATGTATTCACACTTTATGTCATTTATCAAAGGCAGAGTGTCACCCGCTGAGCGATGTGATTTAGTTGGTGTGAAACTGGAATTTTAGAAAAGTTTGCATTTGCGCGCATGGGCGCACGATAGCGAGCTCTGGCAGCTTGGGGGAGGGGGGCTGAAACCTCCAATGATTTATAAATCGGGCCTTCTACTTAAAAATCGGGTACTGTTACTTCAAAGGTGTCAGCCCCCACCACCAAATTTTTTCCCTCCCGTACGGATATGTTTGTGCGAAAGGAGTGTTGATATATAACTCATTATGTAATTAAAATAAGCCTAATTTTCACCAAATCTTCAATTTAGATCGATTTGTCAAAATAACTTGAAAATTGGTATCTCAACCTGATAAGTAATATAAAATTCCATAATGAATAATGTTATACTGTTGCGAAGGTATAAAATAACATCGCTCAGCATGCAGGTGACACTGTGCCTATAACATCCTCTGCCTCGCCAAGTCCCCTTCCGGTCCCCCCTCACAGCCCCCATATTGCCCCTCTCCTAGTAACTATGTTGCCCCCCTCCAAGTAAAGGTCCCTTTGTCCAAAACTTATATAAGCAAAATAGGAAAGAATAACTTAGTTCAGAAGAGTGCTTTACTATTCTTTGTTGACTAGATCAAGGTATATCGAAAAGTTGTGTCTGAAAATGCAGGAACTTAAACGTCTTAAATCCTCACTCCTCCCACAACCCACAACCAATGCCAGGCCAAGGGTTTTACTGATCGACTCTACTGCGGATATATTAAGGGCAATTGCTAGATAGTATACTTCAAAATAAGATTTCCATTTTTATATCAATTTTTAAAATAATTTAGGGTTAGGTTAGGGTTAGGGTTAGGTTGGGGTTAGGATGAGGGTTAGTATTAGGGTTAGTATTAGGGTTAGTATTAGGGTTAGGGTTTAATTTTGCGTTAGGATAGTTTTTTCTACGTTATAAAAACGGAAACCTTATTTTGAAGTATACTATCTAGCGATCACCATATATTAAGTAACAGCATCTGGTTACTTCGTTAATACCGTCTTATCATCAAAATTTCCCTGACATTACAATTAATTCATCTGGCATTCTCGAAATCCCCCCTAATTGCTTTTCGACGCGCTGATCATGCGGTTATTCCGACATGCAAGAATGCTACTAGTTGCTTCCTTCGCACCTAATTAAAACGGAATTCCTCCTCTGTAATCGAAACAGATAAATTTTGGTCGTGAAGCGCAACTCTGCCCAAGAAATGGGAGAATTGTCTTTTATACGTTGTGAACAGGTGGGAAATACAAGGCCCAACGTTTGGAGCGAAATACGTACAGTTACCAGAATTGAGAATTTCTCATTAAGAAAATAATGTTAATTCTAGATCTTTCATTATGTAGTAGTCTTCTATTTTCTAACAGATAAGTAGAGTTGAGAGTTTGATCTGCTTGCACAGTCCAGCTGTACAGCCTCTTGAACCATGTACTAATTATTTATATTAAAAAATTATAGTAGGGATGTGGTCAATCTGTCGTACCCAGAGTATACCACTCTGGGCACGAGATTGGGTTGTGGGCAATTATTAACAACTTTATTTATTACTTTAATAATCGAAATTGTATCTATTTTTCTTTGCCCGTGGATTCAGTATTCGAATTTTGAATATGTATATGATTTGAAGAATCATGAACAAATATACACTCTTATACGAGCACTTTAATATTGGATCATAGACAATCAATATACGACGTTATTGCCGCTGATCTATATACAAAGACCTATTTGTACGGATGACGTCATTTTAAAGTTCCTAGGTCGCCATTTGCTTCAAGAATTGAAATTATCGAGCCATGTAGGCCGGAAATCTTTCACTTCTGTTGCCCGTATTGTGGCCTTTTGTACACCTTCCTTATATATTGTGGTTTGTAGATATGGAGGAGAATGCTAGCTCTACAGAAAATCTGGTTTTCGCTCACACTTTCGATCATGAACAACTGCAGAATAACCGCGAAGGTATGACGGCTTACAGCCTACTTAACCCAACGTACTGCGCATAAAAAGGCAGTATATAATGATTTCCTTTCTTGATATTTTATCCTTAGTGTTGGCTCGTCGGCTTCAGCTTCGTAGGCCACGAGAAGAGCTCGTTAATCAAGGGATCATGCCAGGTTAGCTAGCCATAAGTTTTCTCGATCACTTTGACAATTGTATATATGCAACGACAACCATTTTGTGAAAACATATCACTTAAGTTTATATGGTTTTGTTTTCTAGCGGTGTCTGCAGCCCCTATTATCCTGCAACAGAAGTCGAAACTTGAAAGAGCTCGGGTACTTTATTTTGCTTTGTAAATGTTTGTAAATGACCACCATTTTTAAGGGAAATAGCAGCAAATGAAAGTTTATTTTCAAAATGATATTAACACATCACAAAGTCGTTTACGGCGAGTTGTCTTTCATCATTTAACGGCATAAACTTTCGTTTGCTGTCAAGTACCTTTGCAGTTAACTGTAGTTTTGTCTTTCCTGTCGTAGAAAAGCGATATTTTGCAAAGGAAAATCCGCGTGCGACCAGACAGGAGTCAATTAATACAACGACACATCCTCGAAGGTAGGGTATTAATATTGAGCATTAAACAACAAAGACTGACACTGTCAAGCTTTGTTGTACATTACTATTACCCCGAAAAGCAGTTAATATTTAGATATTATACTGCGCTGACATTTATATTGTACAATTATAAAATATCACGGGTTATTTGCGGTTAAAAGTAGACATTAACGATTGACAAACACAATTATATGATGGGTTTTTTATAAATAAAATCACGACCAAATATATACAAAAGTTTATAATTATATAAACAGCATAGTTATACAAAAGTGCAAATACATCTCGTCTGTGTTAAACTATTTAACAATTTACTGTGTACAGTAATGTAATGCTTCGTTTTGCGGCCAGTACTATTTATATAAGATTATATTAAACAAATGTTTTTTCGATTTATATAATTTAAGGGGGTAATTACTAACACTGGTCAAAGCATAAATATGTAGAAAGTTCCACATATTCATATACAAGGAAGTTGTACATGAATTAAATAGCTAGTAGTTTTGTTATAAGTTATAAGGATGTCAGTGTTTTGTGTGTAACTGTACCAAACAGGAAGCATTTTCTCATTATTTGTCTGCAGAGGAAAGCTGTTCAGCCTGTTATACTAGTTTGTTATTGTTACTAAATTTAATATATATTATGCCTTGAGGACATGGGGGGCCACTGTAGGTAGCATCCCACAATAAGCTGCTGTGGTTTGTGTTTGAACTACCTCTGTACCTGACATTTTAAGGAAACGCCTTTTGTCTGGGAGTATTGGGGCAGCAAATATTGTTTTCAACAGGGTCCCACCAAATATTGTTCTTCATCAATCAGGTCTATGGGATATTTCTGTATTCAATCTGTATCGATACTAAACTTTTAATAGTGTGGAATGTCAGCAGTATGGTACCTGATTGATTATAGGATTTTTGCACTAGTGATTGACCGATTGTGCGACAATTGGGAATTACCGATTATGCCACAATCTGGCCGATGCCGATCCTCGCCCTATGGGCTCAGTCTGTATAAAAAAGACCTTGGTCCGATATTTTTCTGTAAAGACCTCGTGCTAGGTTAACAAAAAGTTAATATTGCGTTAAAAGGCAACATGTATCAGCATGCAATGTATATAATTTATAAGTGTATTTTCTCAACAATTGGTTTTAGACAATCGGAAATATAGATAATTCTACCGACTCTGATTGTTTACCGATAAGGCAAAAGTTGGCCCAATGCCGACACCGATTATTGGTCAGTCACTATTCTCCACAACATATAACTAATTATGTCTATGAAAATTTTATCACCTGATAAGGAGAGCCCTGTTCAAAAGCAAATCATACTGCTGTTTGCAAGCTACCATTAGGCGTACGATTTTTTTCATGTTTGTTTACGTTTTAAACGTTCAGGTTTTGACCGGAAAACGTTAGCGTTTTGAGCAAGCCAATCAACGTTTGCCACAATCTTAGCAAAGTTTCATTGAACACACCGCCAAACGTTGATTGGCTTGCTCAATACGTTAACGTTTTCCGGTCAAAACCTGAACATTTGAAACGTAAACAAACATGAAAAAGTCACACGCCTATTGGTAGCTTGCAAATGGCAGTAAGCTACAGATGCTGAAACAGGTGATGAATAGTCCACAATCGTTTTTATTCTAGACAATGATTTTTTAGGAAATGTCACAATATTACTACAAGAACATTTTATTAGAAATGTAAAATTGCCAGTTGCTGGTTGGCAACCTGCTTTCATTTTAACAGACATCCCAAACACTGAAGCTAATAATTTGGGAGACGTACTGTTCAATGAGTTCCAAAGCAAAGAGGAATCTAGTTGTTCTGGGGAAAATAATGAAAATTGAATCTTCTAAAATGGCATTTCATCCCATTTTGGGAATATGTTGTTATAAGTGATCCTATAAATTATCATAACGTAACTTCATAAAAAGCTCAAGACAAACTTTTATGATGTTTCCTGAATATTCTGAGAATTTGATAAAGATTGGGAGACCGGCAGATTGCATGGATTTTCAGGAGACTCCTGGGAAAATCG